TTTTTTTTTAATTTAATCAATGTCAATATATTTGTTTATAACATTGTTAGAATATTTATTTTATTTGTTCATAAATATGCACAATTTAATTAATATTTGTTTAAACAATTAAAAAATATATTAAAATCAAAACAGAACTGTAGATTTTAAAATTTCAAATGAATGTACACGTGTATTATTATTATTACATTGGTCCCTGTAACCAACTTTGTCAAACATTGAGATAACGTGGAGAACTTTGATAATCGAAATTATATATACATCTATATATATATACGATCCTTATATAATCATTCACAACACTCGTATATAATAGTAATGATCGATAATAGATTATTTTCATAAAAATTGTAATAACATTGTTTAAATAATTTCCGTGCAATTGCATCCTAAACTTTTGTATCATTCTCGTCAAAATAATTTCTAATCAAACAGAAGCTTGTGTGCATGTGAAATGCTTTTTTAATTTATCGTTAAATAAATAATAATAATAATAATAAAAATATAGAATTAATTAGAAAGCTTTTAAAGCTTGTAAGCATTACGTATCATTAAATCGAAATACGCGTCGTAATCGATACTCGCACTTATCGCACTATAATAATTCATAAATTCTTCTAAAGTCACCTAAGAGAATATGAATGACCGTATATTAATTAATGAATTAAAATAGATTAGGGCAAAGAGTAATATACCGTGTGGATAATTAATTAGATAAAAAGAAAAACTTACGATTCCATCTTTCGTTGCATTTTGTTCGAAATTACCGAGAAATTTATTTAAAATACTTTCCTCACTTTCTTCGCCACTTATATAACGTGGATGACATTTAACATTGTACACGCCTTTTAAATCATCCACCGTAATTTCACCATCACCAGTTTTATCCAATTTTTGAAAAGCTTGTTCAACTACTTTTATACGGCTTGGTGACATCGTAGGCTATGAAAACAAGTTTCATAATAAATATCATGCATAATAATATTGAATATATTTAAATATGTATAATATTTATGATTAAATTAGGGATGTTTATTTATAATATACATCGATGTTTTTTTTCGATGCATCGATCGGAAAGGTTGCAATTTAGGATTACTCGGATATACATCGATGTATATTTTAAATGAACATTCCTAGATTAAATATATTTTTCATTTAAAAACATATATATTATATATATTTACAAAAATATATGTATATTATAAATAATATATTATTTATTAATTTAATGTTAATATTAAACAAAAAAAACTTACTCTTATAGCAGTGATGAACTCATCGACGCTAAGATTTCCATTTCCATCGGTGTCGAATTTTTGAAATATCTCGTTTATCTCTTCATCTGATATATCTAAACCACTTTCTTTCAATCCTTTAGTAAATTCCTCCAAATTTAATTGTTTGTTACCGTCATCGTCCATACGACGAAATATTCTACAAATAAATAAGACAAATATTTCAATAAAATATCTTTTTTTTTTTTTTTTTATTCCAATGTCATTTTTGAAATTTATTTTATGGTTAACCTCTCAATCGATGAATTTCGAGGACAACAAATTATACAAAAAGATTCATTTATAAATTTTTACAATGATAAGTACTTTTAATTATATAACATATAAACATTTTTATTATATTAATTATTCTAACAATAAAAAAAGCTTTTAAAGCTAAAATTCTATTTTCAAATGGCAATATTATTATTGATACAATTTACAATGATCCTTGAAAATTATTCAACAATGACGTACACACCTGATGAATCATTTTAATTAGCTCAAACAAATAAAAAAATAAAAGGTAAAAAGATTCGTCATACGACATTGAAAAAATTAAATAGGAAAATCTCGTAATTTAATATAATTCTATTGAACACATTAACAAATAAATTCTAGTATTTGTTAATAAAAAAAATCATTGAAGAAAATATGTTAAGAAATAGAATATAAATGTGAGACTTACCTGCCAAGGCCAAGGATGCCATTGGCACCTCTGGCCAAGCAGAGTAAACGTAATTTTTCTATGGAATCCGTGGTTGTGTGTATGGCTCTCTGGGCCTTATTGATCATTTCAGTCTCCTTCCTCGTAGTTGCACTCTGAGGTCTGTTGAACATTCCTAAAAGAAGTGGTGGAAACGATGATCACGTGAATCTTTTATGACTCACAATCGGAATAACAAGAGACAAATAAAGGAGAGATAAAGGTAACATGAGAAGGTATAAATTTGGTTCGATTCTAAATCGAACGTTCGAAGGATTTTTCTACGATTTTTTTTCTCTCTTTCTTTCTTCTCTCTTAGAGTGTGTAACATATACATATATATATATATGAAATATCGATGTATGGTTATCTCTTTGCGTGATAAGTAACGATCGATAAGTATCCTTTCATTTCTTTGTTGAAATAATAAAATATACTTTTGAAAAATGGGAATAAAATTAATGTGAAGGAAAGATAATTTATATGAATTTTAAAAAGAATATATAAATTTAATAACCAATAGATTTATAATAATTTAAAATAAAACTCATTCGTTTTGATATAAGTTAAAAGTAATTTTGCAATATTTAATATTATAATTTAGTAATAATTGTAAATATAATTATTCAATATTTCAATATTTAATATAATAATTTAGTAATAATTGTAAATATAATTTGTCAATAGTATGAATTTTAAATTATGAATTATTCGATAATATTTCGAAATATTATTATAGAAATATTTGTAAAAATAAATTACAATATATTTTCGTATCTTTTTAAGTCCTGTTTTTTTTTTTTAGAAAGATCCAAAGAAAAAGAAACACAACAAATCGTATGAAAAAATACACACGTTCGGCCTAAAGAACTACCGGGGTTAAACTAGTTAAACACAGCAGGTAGTAGGAAATGGTTTATTAAATATTTAAGAAACGGTCAATGCCGATTTACCTTGTATTGCTACAAGGGTAGCTTTCTATAGAAGACATATGTCTCTGACATATGGTATATCTAATACAATGTTACTTTTTTCTTATTTTTTCTTTTAATTTCATCAATTAATGATCGGTGAAGTTGAACTCACCGAAATTTTGAAAAAATAATGTCGTCCACCGGCGAACGGAAGTAGTTGTCCTTTGTCTTCTGTTTTGATGATCAAGAATTAGAAATATAAAAAAAAATAGGGATAATTGAAAAATATGGATATGTTACTTCTCGGAAGAAGAACTAATGGCAAGTGACAATGTTCGAATTCATCGACACGTATAGTAACATCCTATAGTTCAAACACACATATTGCGCGAAGTAGGCGCGCACGCAAAACCCTTCTACATTCTCGCATGTTGCTTCTCTACTTTTAAAAGAAGCTTTGTTTGACATGTGTGGTCTATAACTATGTGTGTACGTTGTGCAGGGTCTCTTTTGCCGATGGAAGACGTATCCATAACGACGGATATGTCACAACACGCATATTCGCATTAAAAAAAAAAAAAAAAGAAGAGGAGATTAAAAAAAACAAATTTGTCGAATTTATATATTGGGGGTCATTAATCATTCCTATTCACATTTCTTTATCCTTTTCAACACGTTAAATTTGTTCTTTTAGTATCACCATCACTCAAATAATCATTCTTTACACTTGTAGTATTTTTTTTATTTCCATTTTTCATTATAATCATTTTTTTTTTATTAGTGCATTACTTTTTAAAATAAACATTTGAAACATAATGATAGATAGGTTGATGGTTGTGTATTCAATTGAATTTTTATGTATCAATTTGTGATATTGAAAATGATATAAATTATAGATTAGTTATAATTACATTTCATTAAAAATAAGAATATAACACGCATAGATTACATTTCGATAAAATCTAATTATTATTTTTAATTAGAAGAAATAATGATTTTAAATTTCATATTTTATTATCGACCAATGATAAATAATATCAACAAGTTACCGACGATCAAATTGCAAAGTTACCTTACCGACAATCAATCGATAAAACTACCTTACCGGTAGTTTCATCACATGTCGGTAATAGAGATGGCGCTGTAAAAATACCTTACCGACAGTTGCAAAATTTTTAATATATATTGATAATAAAGAAAATATTTTCCTCTTTTCAATCGAATATCTCAAATTTGATTGTTTTAACAGAAATTAATTTCAAAGAACTATTAAAAACAATTTAATTATATATATTTTACATGTTTTTAAATAATTTAATCTTATCTATAACTGAATATTCTCGAAATAAATATATAATGACCACGTATTTCCGATTGACGAATCAAAACACGCCATTTGTTAGAGTTGCTATTAGTTTCTCTGTGATTGGTCTGTTCGTGTTGCGTGGTCTCACGCGATTGGTTGTTGATTATTTACTCCGCTTTGGTAAAGCAGATGTCGAGTTGGATTCGTGACAGTCGGTGAAAAAGTGTTGTACGAAGCGGTTATTAAATATTCGCTAAAGCGTTATCTCGCTTTAACTAATATTTTAAGTGTAACTAAAGTGATAGTTATGAAAAAAATATTCATATTTTTAACGGCCCTGTTACTTTTAGCAGGTAATTTACATATTTACTAAAAATATACTTAACGATCTTAGCTACAATATCCTCTAATGTCAAACATTTTATTTGTATTTTTTTTAAAGGGTTCGTTAGGGCTGAAGATACAAAAGAAGATGAAGTTGCAACTGCAGAAAAAGATCTTGGAGCTAGCCGTGAAGGATCACGTACCGGTAAGATAATTATTTATATTTTTATGCAGTTCTGTCACTTTAGTCAATCTGTCATTCCTGTCATTGCTTACACAAAAGAATAAAGACATTTACAAAAAAATATATATCATTTTCAGATGATGAAGTTATTCAAAGAGATGAAGAACGTATTAAATTGGATGGATTAAATGTAGCTCAAATAAAAGAACTTCGTGCTAAAGCAGAGAAGTTTACGTTCCAAACTGAAGTCAATCGCATGATGAAACTTATAATAAATTCCCTTTACCGAAATAAGGAAATCTTCCTTAGGGAATTAATATCTAACGCATCTGATGCCTTAGATAAAATCCGATTATTATCCCTTACCGATAAAAACGTTTTAGACAGTAACTCCGAATTAGCCATTAGAATAAAAGCTGATAAGGAAAATAAAATCTTGAGTATAACAGATTCCGGTATTGCCATGACCAAATCTGATTTGATCAATAATCTTGGAACCATCGCTAAGTCTGGTACTGCTGAATTTTTGGGTAAAATGCAAGACGTTAAAAATGCTCAAGATATGAATGATATGATTGGTCAATTCGGTGTTGGATTTTACTCAGCATTTTTGGTCGCAAACACTGTCGTTGTTACTACTAAACATAATGATGATAAACAATACATTTGGGAATCTGACAGTTCTAGTTACAGTATCATCGAAGATCCTAGAGGAAACACATTGAACAGAGGAACAACGATAAGGTAAACATCCAAATAATTGTATGATTTTTAATATTATCTATGTACAATATACTAAACATTATTTGTTTGCATTATCAGCTTGCACATGAAGGACGAAGCATTAGATTTCTTGGAAGAAGACACCGTTAGAAATTTGATTAAAAAATACTCTCAATTTATCAACTTCCCCATCTACCTTTGGAGCAGCAAAGTTGTACAAGTAGATGCAGAAGAAGAAGAAGAATCTAAACCAGCTACTGATGAAGAAACTGAGAAAGATACTGAAGATAAATCTGAAGATGAAGAAGAGGAAGAAGAAGCTAAAGTAGAAGAATCATCAGAAGATGAGAAGAAAACCAAAAAGGTAGATAAAACTGTTTGGGATTGGGAACTTTTAAATGAGTCTAAACCTATTTGGACTATGAAACCGTCAGAAGTTGATGATAAGGAATACAATGATTTTTATAAAACATTAACAAAAGATACTCAAGATCCTTTGGCAAAGATTCACTTTGTCGCAGAAGGTGAAGTTACTTTTAAATCTCTTTTGTTTATACCTAAAGTTCAACCTAGCGACAGTTTCAATAGATATGGTACAAAGGCAGATAATATTAAATTATATGTTAGGCGTGTATTCATTACTGATAAATTTACCGACATGATGCCCAATTATTTATCATTCATACGTGGTATCGTTGATAGCGACGATTTACCACTTAACGTATCACGTGAAAATTTGCAACAGCACAAATTAATTAAGGTCATTAAGAAAAAACTTATCAGAAAAGTTTTAGATATGATCAAGAAGATTTCTAAAGAAGATTATGAGAAATTCTGGAAGGAATATAGTACAAATATCAAATTAGGTGTTATCGAAGATCCTCAAAATCGTGCTAGATTATCCAAACTTTTACAATTCCATTCTTCAACACAGAAAGGTACAACATCATTGGCAGATTATGTATCACGTATGAAACCTAAACAACAACATATCTATTACATTGCTGGAGCATCTGAAGCAGAAGTTGAAAAATCTCCATTTGTCGAACGTTTGAACAAAAAGGGATACGAAGTTTTATATTTAACAGAACCTGTCGATGAATACACCATTTCCGCTCTTCCTGATTTTGATGGAAAGAAATTCCAAAATGTTGCCAAGGAAGGCTTCCAATTAGATGAAGGTGAAAAGGCTAAAGAAATACAGGAACAATTGCAAACATCATTTGAACCTTTGCTCAAATGGTTGAACGATATTTTGAAAGATCATATCAGTAAAGCACAAGTCTCAGAACGTTTGACAGATTCACCTTGTGCTCTTGTCGCTAGTATGTTCGGATGGACAGGCAACATGGAAAGATTAGCAATATCTAATGCTCATCAAAAGTCTGATGATCCTCAGAAAACTTATTACTTAAATCAAAAGAAAACTTTAGAAATAAATCCAAGGCATCCTCTAATTAGAGAATTGTTACGTAGAACTCAGGTCGATCCATCCGATCAAACTGCGAAAGACATAGCCATTATGATGTTTAGAACAGCCACACTTCGTTCGGGATACATGCTTAAAGAAACTGCAAGCTTTGCAGATAGCGTAGAACAACTTATGAGAAAAACGTTAGGTATATCTTTAGATGAAGTACCAGAAGAAGAAGAAATGATTGAAGATGAATCTACTGGCTCTTCCACAGAGTCGGAACAAGCAACTGAAGTTGATGCGGAGGAGGACAAAGAAGAGGAGGAGGGACACGACGAACTGTAAAACAGTGTGCACTCGTGTTTAAACACAAAAGACTTATTCTTGTTTATCAGCTATACAATGTATAGCGATATATTGTGCACTCTATTGCCGTTGCAAACGTTATTGCAAACTTACAAATCATTCAAAAAATATCTCATTATGTTGAAAAACTTGTAAAAATTTATAATTTATTTTTATTCTTATTGTTTATTGCATTGTAAAGATTTTTCAAAGAGGATAGGTATATTTAACAAAACAAAAAACAAAAAATGAATTATCATGCATTTATTGTGCTCTTCGAAAAAAAAAAAACTACATTTTATACTACAATTGTATAATTCATTTTTATAGAGAAAAAGGAGAGACAATCTATTAATCTAATATTTGGATACAAAGAACAACAACAAAATATCTTAAAATATCTATCTATTTAATTATTGTTAATTTGATCTTCCATTTATTTGTATCATTGTATAAAAAAAAAAAAGGAAAAACAAAAGGCGGCATTGACTGAATATTATTAATACGGTATGCATGTGAACATGTGCGTTTGTCTCTATGTATGATCTATATATATTGAACAAGAAAAAAAAAAGAATTTAATTATAGTAATAAATAATTTTGTTTATTTCTTTTCTCACATTTCTACGATACAACATAAATATTATATAATTTGAAAAAAATAAAACAAAAAAATAGAAATACAATTGAATGTTAGTATTGTAATTACAAAAAAATAAAAAATAAAAATGAAAAAAAAAAAAAAATCAGTTTGTTAAATAAAAAATAAAAAAATTGGCAATGAAAATTGAATGTAAAGAATGCGATGAGAAAAAAGAAGAGAAGAGAAGAGAAGAGAAGAAAGAAAGAAAGAAAAAAAAAAGAAGAAGAAGATTTTCAAATGATATCAAATATGTACTTCCGGGCGCCATCTTTGGGTAGATTCTAAGGACCAATAGTATTCGAGTATTCTCATGAAATCGTGAAGTAAAGCGTAAGACATAGGAGCGCGGTCAAGTGCTCATTTCCGTTTTCGAATCCTACGTCAGCTACTCTGAAAGCCCGTGTGTTTTGTGTTTCTTTGGGGCCATGATGATTCTCGCTAATTTAACGTAAGTACATTTTACAAAAATAAATGTCAAATAGATGTATAATCCTAATAAACAAGGTGATTTAGCGCGTGGTCTCGTAGTTAAACGTAAATTGATCACGAATCCGCGCGAATGCCTTGCATTTGTTTCAACATATATTAGTTTAGTGATATTAAAAGGATACATCCTTTTTCTCTTTCGCCATGCCGGTTTTTATGGGATCCTTCTTTTTTTTCCCCTTTTTTTTTCTTTTTTTTATACATTCAACACGCTTCATCACCGTTCTCCCTTAAGACAATGGAAATCGTCGTCGTTTAAACGTTAAGAACAGTTCATACAAATTTTGGATATGTTTATGGTCGTTAAGAATGAAAAAATAATCAATTTTGTTTCTTTGACACTTTCCTATTTTTACTTTGGTATAAACAAAGTAAATGGCGTCGACATATTTCTTTTCATTCAATTCTATGACAAATTTCTCTTATCGAGTGTTCTAGAATAAAGAAGCCAACGTGCACTTATTATTTTCCTTTTTTTTTCTTTTTTCTTTCTTTCTTTCTTATTAATCTTTTATTTGTATTCTTTTTGAAACACGTTGAAAGAGACACGCCGTTCTACCAACATGTACATTTCAATCATTAGACGTTTATTAATGTTATTGCAATTGTGTTAATAATGTTTTATCAATTTATCTACGTTTTAATAACAAATTCTTATGTTGTTTTTTTTTTTTAACCTGTCAAACGTAATTAATATTTCATTCATTTTCAATTTTATATATATATATATATATATATAGTATGTTTATATTATCTATTAATAAGAAAATAAATGTTTCATTATTTTTTAATTTAACTCTATACACACATATATACATAATTATTTGTATGTATACATGTAAGTGTTTGTGTGTGCATATATGTATATATATATATATAAAAGATTGAAGATGATGTCGTCACGTCACGTCAAAATCAAATTTAAATAATTGATTAAAATAAATCTTTTGTTCTTTTACAGGTTCAAACTGTTGAATTTGAAACTACACTTCTGGAGATCATAAAAAACAATTAAATAAAAATTTAAAAAAAAAATATTAACAACAACAACAACAACAAAAATTTCATTTAACATTTGAACAGCTATTATTCTAATAAAAGTAGCTATATATATATATAAATAAAAAAAAGAAATAGTTATTATATATATATATAAAAAAAAAGAAAAGACATATACAAGTAGGAAACAACACATACCTAAAACTTATATTACCATAAAGAAAGGAAAGAATATCTTTGACAAAAAAAAAAAAAATGGGCATTCAGGACTTACAAGCTTTTCTCGATAGTAATTGTATACCTGGTGGATCTATATCTGTAGATTTATTGAAAATAGCACGTACTGTTACTCAACGACAACGTAATCGGGTTTGCAAAGTATTATCACCTCATTCAACCGCAAAGTTAAGATTAGTTCTCGATGGAGAATGTTGTTTGGATCGATTATACGGTGGTTATTTCTCAGGTTTGTTTCTTCTATCGTTTTATTTAACGTATATAATATCATTCACCATTCACAAGATGTTAAATTTATCGAATATTAATGACAACTACTGTCTTTTAACAGATTGGGCTTGTGGTGGACAATGGAACCGTATGGTGCAATTTCTAGCAGTTCTTATACAAGCAACAGAAATGTCAGGTTTAGAATTAGCTGTATTTTTTAATGGTTCTTTTGAATCTGCACGTCGTTCAGATTGGATACAGAATCAATTACAAGTGAGAATTAAAGTTAACAATGTAAGTTTTTATCTTTCTTATTATTATTAATATTTGTATCTTTGTAATGTTTGTTAAAACAATATTGTGTGTTTATTACACAGGTCATCAAACATATTACAACCAAAGGAACTCCACCACCAAAGATTTGGTGGACACCACCTGTATGTTTAAGAACCAGTCTACGTATGGCACTTAGATATTTTAACGTTGCTGTTGTAAGTTGATTATTTTTATATCAAATAATATATATATATATATATAAAAAGAAAGTATAAATTAATATTAGTTTATATAATTGCAGTTGTGCAGTATGGACGATCATCGTCAAGAAGTCATTGCTTATTGTCGAGAGAATAATTTTAATGGTCTAATAGCTGACGATGCCGAATATGCTGCATTTGATCCACCTAGATACTTTTCATCGGAACAATTAAAGCTTACATATAAGGTTAGTCGTATCTATATATATATATATATATTTATATATATGTATATATATATACACGACTAACGGGTATTAAGTGTTTGTTTATATTTTAAGGGTTCTCTTGACACAAAAGAATATATAATTCCCGAACTTTTAAAAGCCTTAAACATACCAGCAGACAGATTATGCTTATTGGCAGCATTACTTGGGAATTATATCTTAACGGAAAATAATCTTCTTGACTTCTATAAAAAATTAAATATTAATACAAATACCAATAAGACAAGTATTGAACAAACAATAAAAACACTCGCGAGTTTTGTTAAAGAACTTCCATCAGTTGAGTTAGATGTAGTATCACAAAAAGTATTTGGTTCTCTATCTGATCCAAGGTGTTCCAAGTTAAGGCAATCTGTACAGTACTACATTAATGGTACAAAAGAAGGATTTTTACATTATAAACCTGTAAAACCAACTAAAGGTAAATATATCTTAACATATATATATATATATATATATATATATATGTTAATACAAGTGTTTAATAACAATAAATACATTTTACAGCTCACAAGATAGATTCCAAACAAAATTTGCAAAATCAGTCAAACTCAACTGATGGACCATCGACTTCGGAGGGTGATAGTTGTTTGGAAACTTCTAGATTTGCTTCTGAAACGTTGGAAAGTGAACGTGAAAGTTTAAATGCTTATAAGCAAGCAACAGCTAATGCAAAATCAGCACCACAGATTGTGATAGATCCACCTGGCATCCAAGGACATGGGGATACCGATAATGCTAGATCTGAAGAAGAACAAAGTGAATATGAATTCAATATTGTTATATCATTCGATTTATGTTTGATAAATGTATCAAATATATATATATATATATTTTTTGTTTATTGTTATAGGCAATGGTCATGCTATAAATGGCACCCATAATCTTTTAATAAGTTCATCGAGCTCAAGTAGTAGTTCTTCTGCTACATCTCCGTCTCATGCAACTACAGATTCGACTAAACAAATAGAAAAGACAACTAATAGTATTCCTGGTACAGTACCAGAAGTTATGCGTACCGCATCTGAAAGACATCAAAAGGGATTAATGTCACCTCACATATATCAAATTCTTATAGCTGGTGAAATTAAATTGCCAGTTCTTTTAGAGGATGAAAATCATAGGGAATTTCCCTCTATTCATTTTATTTATAGACCAGTCAGACAAATGGTATATGCAATTCTGTTTAATTTGCATCATCGTGTTTATTTAGCAACTAAAAGTAAAGAAAAAGGTGGTATGTATGTTTATCAAAATTATCATATATATATAAGATTCACTGTATATATTTGTAATTTGTAATATTTATTTTAAATTTGATAGAAAGTGAAAAAATCGAAGTCCCTGACGTAATAATAAAGGAATGGGTATGGTCAAAATCAAATCCATATCAAACTCCAGAATTAGTCAAAGCAGAACAAATTGGTTGGGGTGTTCCAACCATTCAACGTTTATGGTTTGGGTTAGTACTTTTCCTCATATTTATACATCACAATTTTTTATTTGAAAAACTTGTAATATTTTTATTTTTTATTTTTTTTTATTTTTTACAGCACAGGAATAGATGACAAACGTCGTAGATTAAGAGGATTTTTAACTTGCATGAAATCAGATACACCTCTTATGTTAAATACATCTTACGTTCCTCAGCATTTTTTAGTTATGGCTTGTGTTTTACGGTGAGTGTTATATATAATGTTATAAAAGTAGACTTTTGTTTTTAAGAAACATTATTAATATTTTGTATTTTTCTGCAGATACATCATGTCTTTTTCTGATAAAATCAAAATTTTACGTCGACAAGAATTAGATGCTTTTATTGCACAAGCCTTTTCACCAGAATTAATGAATGCTCAATATTTACAGGAACTACAGGTAAGATAACGAATATAGCTTTGATAGTACAATTTAATTATTATTATTATTATTATTGTTTTACAGCTTCCTTTAGTAACTTCCCGCGGTGTTCAACTCGCGAGTTTATTTATGGCAGGCGTGGAAACTGCATTGTTAGCAAATGACGCTTGTGGTGCACCAATACCTTGGTTAATGTGTTGTCCTTGGTTATATTTTGATGGCAAACTATTTCATCATACGTTAGCACGTGCCACCATTGCGAAGAATTTATTAGAATTATGCAGTGGCCATATAGAACGCGTTGTAAAAGTTGAAAGGATGAGAAAAGCTGTACTCGAAGGGATCAACGTTGTGTTTGCAAGACCACCAATGCCAATTGCACCAGGTATACATTTTATTTTATATCTCACGATTCAAAAATCTATTTATTTGAAAATCAAATCCTTCTACGAATTGAAATAACAATTAATTATTATTACCAATTAATTGTTTTTAAGTGGAAGAAGATTAAAGCAGTTATATTGCTTCGTAGCGTTTGATTAACAACCGTTTCGAATCTCAAAACTGCTACAATTGTTTTATCACTTTTCTCTAATTAATTTGTTGTCTACATTTAATTAATTATATTTACAGGTATCCGTGTGTCAGTACCACAGAATATTTTACCACCTGGTTGTGCGATTAATGAAGGATTAATTCGTGGACGAGGTAATGGTACAATACCACCACAACGTGGTTTAATGCGTCGCCCAATACCTTCACGTGGAGGACAATTGGAGATAGCTGGTGTCGTTGTTGGTCAATGGGGTCCTAATTATGGTCAACCGGGTCGATTGCCGCAACCTATGCAAGGACATCCTCGGGGACGACTTCCACCTCAGGTATTACATTAAATTGTAGTATAATTCTAAATATACTACTTTCATTTATTTGTTTATGCGATGAAGGAATTTTTAAATGCTTCTGCAAAATATATTGAATTTGAAAGTAAGTTTGTTAAACGTAAAGGTTATGTTTTTTAAAAGGATATTTTAATAATATAAAGAAATGTGTAAATAATTTGAAAGTAAGTTTGTTAAATGTAAAG